CCCATGACCTTCACATTCCGGAAAGCGTTGCCAACTCTCAATGTGAGTGTAAAATAGAGTGACTCACGATTCAACACATGCAGAGTTAATACTTTGTTGGACATTTTGGTGTTTGGATATGCAGTGTTTGATTTTCTTGTTTGGTGTGTCAGTTTTTGTTTTGTTTTTTTCTGGTGACCTGGGGATGACAATTAAACAGCAGCACATCGTCGCTCATTTGCACGAGATGAACAGTCAATAGTAAATGGAATTAGTTAATTTGTTATAATGCTCGATCCGTTGGGTTATTTTGTCACGTCACAGCCACACTGTTAGGACATACGAGAACTGTTTCAAATTTTGGGGAATAAATGCACCATATGTCTTCCTTGAGATAAACTCAAAAAGGTCAAACCTTCACTTCCATTGGGATTGGGTCATCTTTACCGGAACCAAAACATATGACACATCTTTTTTTTTTCTGACCAGATCTCTCAAAAAGTTCACACTTTCTCATTGTTCTTTTACAAAGTCGCACATCTTCCCATCATTAACACACTAAAACTCTGTAAATATTTGCCACATGGGAGCAGCAAAGAAACTAAACGATCAGTCGTGACTGGTGTTTGCCAACTTTCCTGGGGGGGGGGGGGGGGGGGGGGGCATTAAAAAAAAAAATTGCTTGTGATCGGAGGGTGCGGTGAACTAACAGAGAAGGGAAGAAACCATTTGAGGAATGAGCGAAGGAGAGACTATGAATTTCCCAGCAGACAAGACAAACCCTCCTCCTTCATCCCAGCAGGAGATAATGGGGTTCATCTGTCTTCTTGCCCTCCTTTCCACCCCATCTCTGGACCACTCGTCCACATCAGCTGTGAATTAACAAACAGCCCCGCTCCTCTCCACTGTGGTGTGTAGTATTTAGGATGGGAGGGTTTTGGGAAAACCAACAACAAAAGGATTTGGTCATTTTGGAGACAGCCAATCAAAACTAAAACTGGATTTATGAGCTGTACGTCATGTGCTGCGCCTCTAAAAACAAGAGGATATTTACAGTTCTACCAGGGGGGATATGGTGCTTTTTTTTTTTATTTCCAAAATATATATATTTTATAATTCAAAACAAAATCTGTGTTTTACTAACATGTTCTCATCAAAATATAAGTATATTGCACTTTGCGCATCTGATTTCTGGTCTTGCTGAATTTAGCATATTTTGTGCTTAAACATAAAATATTTGCAAACATATGCTTTTACTTTTGGAAAACATTGACTGAACCAGGCACTGCGCATCACTACTCAAGTGGCTCCCGCTTGCAGGAGCAGAACAGTGTGGGGAAAAATAGTGACAACCTCTGTAGCTTGTGGAGACCAGTGCTTCATACACTACACTGTGTGTATGTGGCACATAAGAATCGTCACCGAACACAAATAGACCACGATGCCAGCACGTCAACAACTTCACCGAGCAGTCAAGTACTATTTGTGCCAATGAGGAGAAGCTAACATTAGCTCATGCTAATTTGCGCATCCAACAAATCTCAATGCAGCTCTGCTTACCTTTTGGCTTTGAAATGATTACAGAGGCGGTGCCTGCATGATAGGGCCTCTGCATGATGGTTATTCAGACAATGTACTCACTGGAAAGTGGTTCAGAATCTACACTCACCCTAGTTGATCAATTAATGAGTGGAGAAATCTTGTGTGAGGGTAATTATGTAAAGGTATTATATGTATAACATTTTTGGTTGGGTTGTCTGTAATAATTTAGCAAAATATAACGGCTAGCCTATCTTGCTAGCTAACTCTAGCTCTACCACGTGAACTACTGTATGCCTGAATTTCAAAGATTTTTTTTTTTTTTTTTTTTTTACATCAACTTACCTGTTAGGTTTAAATTGCAGGCGGCATTATGTCTTCCTTGGGAGCAATTTATCTCCCGTAACATCTTTTCAATTAACGCTTCATACTTTCATACCACGGTGGTAGAAAAGAAGGCTAAAATTATCATGCAAGCCACTTACACTTTTTAAAATGCGTCTGTTTTGGTCAGATGACACACAGAAGAAGGGTTCCTTTACCAGTGTTGCTATTGGAGCTATTGTATGTAAGGAAGTATTTGTGCTATCATGGTGAAACGGTCTATGTAGGCCATTAAAAAGTTCAATATTTTCCATAGGTCGCTTTAATACCAATCGGGACAGACAACAGAGGTCAGCTTGTGGGATGCAGCCTGAAAAAAACTAAAAGAAGAGAGGAAAATGACATTGAGTGCCTGCCACTGTATTTCAAAACAGATTGTTTATTTCACACGTCGGCAGGTTTTGACTGCTGACGCTGAAATATTATCGAGCTAAGCTGCCGAATCATTTCAGCTCCGCCGCTGCGGCTGCTGCTTCCGCCGGTAGACTGCTTAGCAAAACATACGAGACACATTCATTCTGGCCCATGGATAATACAGCGTTCCTGTGCTTTTCTAAAAGGTTAGCCGTACAAACTCAGATACAGTATACTAAAACAGATGCAACGGTACACGTCCAATGTCCCTGTGAGAAGAGCTCATTGACAAGGGCGGGAAAAATCAACGACCTGCTTTCCGACACAACGCTCTGTCTATTCCATGAGACAGTGAAGCGTAGAGGCCGTGGAGGTGGGGAGCGGTGGGGCACAGAACCGCAGCGGGAGGAGAATGGGCAGAAAGCAGAGGGAAGTGCTGCTATCTGGATGTGTCATGTGGAGAGCAGGAAGAGAAAACTGGACACATAGCTTTGCTCCACTCATTGGTTCCAATAGCGGCCTTGTGGCAGCTCTTGTATTTGGTGTTGGTTTGTTTTGACGCTTTACATTTCATCAACAGTTCACTTGTTTTGAAGAATGTCACTGTTACTTTAAAACTGACTTTTTTAAGTTTAAGGGGACATATTGTGAAAAATTGGACTAGATATTGTTTGGATACTAATTTCACGTGCGAAATTAAAACACCCGATGAATCTTTTTATCTGCTTATTTCTTAAAATGTGGTATGTGACTTCTCGTAAGGTAAGCAGACCTGCATTGAGTTTTGTCCAACTCACTGATTATCATTAACGAACAGATAAGCAGCACTTATAGTTGTTAATTGTTTGAGGAAGTTGTCCAAGCAGTGTAATGTTTATTAATGCAACAGTGGTTGCTTTATCCTCTGTGGTTCTTGTGGAGATTGTATTTATTTATTTTTTAATGTCCCACAAGAAGGCCTACTATATTGGGGGGTGGGGGGGTTGTTTTGTTTGCTTGTTTTAACAAATCAGATTGACACTTTCAAGGTTTTACTGAATTTTGTAATTAACTTCTAGTTAACTTTTACACCTGTGTGTCAGTTGTGAGTGAAAATATAAAATCTGTGAGGGACATGTGCCACATGTGTCAAATAGTTAAGCATGTTAAATTCATATGACAGAGGTTATTGTTTTGAAATCTGAACAAATCAAAGGTCAAGTGGCCTGGTTGAACTTTAAGGCTGCTGTGTGTCTATGTACTTTGAAAATAACAGGCTAAGGAAAATCTGCCTTGAGTATTTTTGCTGCAAAATAACATTTCAGAAAGTACTCCATTCACAAGGCACAAGAAGACCCGCCCAGTTACCATCATGCTCAGTGTATTTCTTTTGATTGCTTTACTCATTTATGGCTGGTTAGCATGGTGGTTGATTGGCTCAGCGCTTTTGCATTACAGTTCTGACGTTTGAATCTCAGCTTTGTCCTCGCAGTACTACTATGGCTTCCTCCCACCTCTCCAAAAAATATTGGGGGTTATTTTCATATGGGGAGTTTGAATAGTATTAGGTGTCACTACGGTAAACTAGTGCTTAGCATGTCTGCCTCACAGTTCTGGGGTTCAAATCTTGGCTCTGGATAGACTATGTCACTTTCGCCATTGGAGCAAAGACAAAAAATGAGCGACACCTTGTAGTCAGTGTAAGAGTGGTATAAGAATCTACTGTTTGATTAACTTTAATGGACAATGACATAATACTAACAAAGCCTTTGTGACAATAAAGACTGTGTCAAACTTTCTTTGTTTTCTTGAAGTTAGCTGCATTCTGTTCAACAAGATCCAAATGTACAGACATGCCCATTGTGTGTCCCCCAAAACCAGCACAGAGCAGCATCATGCATGGGTGTGTCCACGCAGACATTCCACTAATGTACGCCGACAAAAACTTTACATCAACAAGCACACATGAGGGCTACAACAGTGACTTTGTTCATCTATAACGTAGTGGTTTCGTGTATCAAGTATTATACAATATGTGTCATATTTTTGTTTGGTCATGTGTACATTACATGTGCTCTGGCTTGATAAAGTTTGAGAAAGAAACACTACCAAGTGTGTCAAAATGGCAAGAAACATACATCAGCTTTAGGAACTATCAAATTATTAATTAAACCAATGATTCCCAACCAGTATGCCTCACAAGAGAGAAAATAAGTCCTAAAGCAATGACATATTTCCTACAAATGTACCCCATCTCTTTGCCATTGACGTAAAGTGACAAGCAGAACAATTAAATGCCCTATTGCCCTTCCATTACTGTACACTTGTGTACAGTTTCATCATCCATGATATGAGGCGCTGATCCTCAAAGTCCTTAAGTCAATTCATGACTGTATACTTGGTGTCATATGTGTTGCTACAGTGCTTTTTAGTAAGTAAAATATGCAGCAATAAATGTTGAGAAACAAACTCACATAGTGTCTTGATCAGGTGTGGGGAAATTAATCCAGTATCTTTATTTAACACAAAGAATGTACAATATATTTGTCGTCAGTATATGCCAGCAACGTATAGTGACACGCAGAACAATTTAATGCTCTTCCGCGAGATGCGGCAGGTACATAATTTGTGCATCCACATTTTGTGACGTTTTTCTATTGTAAAATGTTTGCCTTACAGTGTGTCAACATGACCAGAAAAGCGTCCCATCTTTGCGAATTGACAAAGGGCAGAAAAACAAAACGTTATGACAGTGTTCGAGGTACCTTCAGACAGCTCCAACTCCAACTCGGCCAACTTGGCTCGGACCTCCGCCGGCAGGGTCATAGCGACAGCCGGCGTGGGCTCCAGAGTCACGGTCAGCAGCCCGGCAGAGGTTCTCTCGGCCATCCCGGTTCAAAAAGCACAGATCTATCCACGGGATTGCTTTTTTCAAGCGAAACAAACAGAGCCACACGATCCTCCGGGAAAATACCGTTTCGGTCACCGGTGTGGTGAGAAAACAGGGTGCGTCTCGAAGTAACAGCGGACAGATGTGCAGGAAATCTCCGGCGGCGTCATGACATGGCACGGCTAGCCGTGACGCTAGCACACGCGTGGCTGTTACGTGTTGCCACTGAGCGCTTTAAAGGTAACAGTGCGGTGGTGAAGAAACTGTTGTCTTTCCCCTGCGGCGACATGGGCTGCGTCCTGCAGTGACTGCTGCCTCACTTCAACTGGGGCGAGAACTCATTCAACTCGACGATCGGCTTGCCTACCGCGCAGACTACGGTGGGTCGTAGCAACAGCAGGCACCTGCTTCTACCTGGTGGGACGTCACTGCCCCCTGTTAGGCCAATTTAGGAACTGCAGACACAGCCTGCCTTGGAATCGAATACCGAACAGCGAAGGGGTTCACAGAAATACCGTCTAAAAGACTAATGGGCAACTGGCGACCCGCAGGTACACACTTGGCCCCTTGATTAATTAAACACACTTACACACACACACACACACACACACACACACACACACACACACACACACACACACACACACGCGGGCGCGCGCACGCCTATGTATTTATTTATTTATTATTATTTATTCATTAATGAATTAGAATGTAGGTGCACACCACATGCAGTTGCCCATCCCCATAATGAACCAAATGTTGTTTTGTTAGGTTTAGCAGTCTTGATTTAAGTTTAATTTTGATTGCCAGAAAGTAATTATAATACACTGTGGTGCAGGCAGCTTCCAGGTAGCATTGTTGCTCAGATTTGTGCTCTGACTGGGAGGTCATTGATTCTCAATACCCAAACTCAAAAAGCATATTATCCTAATTTTGAATGGCAATGCACTCGTGCACGCCTGACTGCAATTATGAAGAGCAGCTTCTGATTGGTGCAGGGGACTGTCCTTAAAAAGGGCCAGTGTGGTAACAACACCAGCAACAGCAGGACCTAAGAAAGAGCTCAAGTTGTGAAGCCAACCAACCAACCAACCAAGCAAGCAGGACCCAGGGAAAGACCACATTCACCAATGGCTTGTGACTTGTGTCTGAGGTATTTTTAATTTTTTTTGGCTCCATTACTGGCTTTGTCTGTGCTGTTTGTCAATGTCATTTTCTCTCTCTCTCTCTCTCCTCAGGGTGCTTGTACTCTTGCTGCTAGCTTTTGGCCACCTTGAAAAGGGTAAGCATCTGTTAATATGTGCACCTGTTGAACTCTAGTAACATTTTATTTTTGCTTTAAGGAGGTAGTACTCAGCATGGAGGTTTTGCTTCCCCTAGAAGCCAGCCAAATAGTTGGTATGCACAGCCATACAGTCAACTTGCGCCCGATATGTTCTATTGGGCTCAACCCCTAAGCCAGCAGCACGGTGCAAGTATGGCCGAGGATGATGCGAATCTTGGTTCTGGTGAACAGTCGGTCCCCCCAATTTGCCCCATCTGTCCTCGCTGCCCCGAGCCACTCCCTTGCCCGTTACCTGGCCCTTGTCCTCATCCTTACTGTAAACCTGGCTATAGTCCTTGCCCTTGCTCGCCATCTTGCTGTAAGAACAGTCGCAGGTGTCGCACCTGGCATCATTGGTAGGCTCCTCCATGTCTGAGCAGGTAAGATGAACTGTCGTAAGCTTATCAATTTTTAACAGTCTTCATTCAGTTACCTTTTCTTGTTTGCAGGTTATCGTCCAGTGATGGTGTGCGCACTTCTTTTTGCAGTAACTATTAAATCTGTGAAATGGAACTGGTGTCTTGTCTTCCCTTGATCACTGGACAACTGTTACTGCAGCCTTCTAAAATGACACACTGGTCCTGTGTGCCTGTCCTAGATTGCAATGTGAAACTCAGACCTTGAGGACTATTCAACTTTAGAGTACCGGTACTGTCACTTGCAAGCATTGAATTTGCACAAGCAACAGCGAAATTTGAATAAATGGGGGGCCTTGAATGCCGTACTTTTTTTTTTTTTTTTTTCCTTTTGAATACTGCTTACTTTTGTACCCCTTTTGAGGGGAAAAAGCTGCAATTCATTTTGTGGCGTTTAGTCGCCTTGTCTCTGAGTCATTCAGTTTTAGTGAAAGTCATACCTGGGTATTGCTCCTTGTAATTCTTGTATTGCTATCATGCCTATAAAGTTTTTTTCTGATATGCTGATACATTACAATCTTCTAAATGCCAAAATGGTTTTGATTTGTCATGCTCTTGTACACAGCCAAGGCAGCAACTGTTCAAGAATATATTTTTAAAGCTTTGTTTCCATGAAAGCAGTTTTTTTTTTTTGGTCTCAAAATGTATAACCCAAGTTCCATGGATGGACCGGACAGCACTAGTAGCATTATTTTCTCTAACTAGTCATGTCTCATTGACCTACGCGTACGCTATTAAACCCTCTGTTAAATTGTTGTGCCGCACAACATTACAACACACAACAGATGTTCTGAACCCTGCTCGGAGGACCACAATGCTCACTTGTTTTGTCTCACTAGGAATATGTAGTTCTGCTTCAGTACTTGTGGAACTTGGGAGGTGTTAGTTCTCTCCTGAGCTAAAGTTGCAACTAACGTGTAAACAAATGCCATACATGGACCTTGGGCTGGATTCAAGGATTGAATAAATGCTCAAATGGATTTCTACAGTGATACCATACATCTTGTTAAGGCATGTCTTTCACTTCAACAATTTTTTAACTCAATTCTTTTCATGTTCACCCAACAACGAAATATCAATTAGACTTCAAAAGTTAAGGATATTTGACTTTGAACAGGACATTTCGTGGTCGATTCAAAGATCAACCGCCTATTGTGAATTTTATCATGAAGCTCCCGTTAGAGAACGGCAACTTGTGCAAAAAGTACTGACACATTTAACAGTTGGACATGTGCATTCAAAAGCTTAGGAAGTCACACTGAGTTCACCTTTAATGGTTCGAATGCATTTTAGGATCATCCTGAAATTTCACCTCAAAGCCAAACATTAACTTTTTGTGAGTGTATATCCTGTGAAAAGAGCACAATCCCAATGACTACTTACTGTTTTAAAATATATAAACGGACCCTGAAAACAAATGTACCCTTCCATATTCTAGCCAAGTAGCATTACGCACTGCATTAGCAATACTTTGCGAGATCTCGCAATACTTTGAGTGGGAACGCAAAGTTTTTTTTTCGCCTTCCATGTCCCCTTTGGGGCTCCGTAGTCTCTCAAGACATCTGGATGTTGAAAATGGTGATGTGAATTTAGGTGACAGGGTCACTGGATTAAAAGGAACGTTTTTGGTAAGGCATTAATCCAAAATGCTGTACAATATTGAGCTAGTCACCCGATTTGATCTTTGTCTAAAGCGTTTAAGGTACTGCCATTTGTAATCTTATAAGTACGACTGTTCTCAAACCCATTTAAGAGGGGGAAAGCTTTGATGGGAGGACCAAAAAAAGAAAAAAAAAAGTTCGCCGTTAGTACCCTGTTCAAGAAATGGAACAAAGTCCAATCCAATTTTAAATTATTTATTGACTGCTGCAATGAATGTAAACTTCAGAAGGACAAATACCTGGATGCAAGGGGGGGGGGGGGCATTACGGTGTGCTTTTCAATAAAACTGAAAAACATTGACCTTACCTGCACAGACATTGAGCAGCCTACCAAGGATGCCAGCTGAGACACCTACGACTACGCTTGCAGCACTTTATACTGCAAGGGCAAGGGAGATGATTGGGCACACAGTCAGACTGAGGGCAATGTTCAGGTAATGGGCAAGGGGAAATTTCGGGGCAATCAGGACAGAGAGGGCAAATCGCTTCCACTGCTTCAATGGACCATCCACCAGACCTCGGAACTACAGCTGCCCGGGACAAACTTGCACTGTGCTGCTGCCATCGGTGGTGGTCGTAAGGTTGAACCACATGACCCACAGGCGCGAAAGCCAAATACCGCATGCCGGCTTCATTCTGCAGGAATCCAGCTGCATTGGACTGAAGTTGACTATATTGCGGATCCCAACTAGCTGGCAGACTTCTTGGAGAACTCCCATCCAAACCAAAAGGAGGAGCAAGATCACCTTGTCCAGAACCATGTCCTAACAAGAGGAAACATAGTAGGACGACAATAGTTTTGCAAGTGCGCAGATTCACAGGGGCTTACCCTTTGCATGGGGTCCAAAGGCTAACAGCCAGAGCACAAGTAACCTAAAGAGAAAAGAGGACAGAACTAAACACCAGTACAGACAGGAGAAAGAAAATAAATAAATATATTACCTCACACACAATTTGCAAGCCATTAGTGAAGTTTGTCACTCGGTTCTTCAGCTTTGCAACTTTGCAGCTTGCTCTTGTGTCCTGCTGTTATTGTTGATGTCAACCCACTGGCCCATTTTAAGGACGGTCACCTGCACCAAGCGGCATGTTGCTCTCGATCATCGCAAGCAGGTGTGTCGGAATTGATTGATTCCAAATGAACGCAATACACTTTATGAGCTTACAGTCAAAGGACTCACAGTCAAAACACATCTCTAAATTTGAGCAAAGAGATGATAAAAGGCATCGCTCGCAAAAAATAAACTAAATAAATAAATTGTAAAAAATAGATGTGTATGATTAATAAAATGCAGTGAGACCGCCGAAAGTGAACCACGATATGGTGAGGGTTGAATTCACAGGAAACAGATTTATTATCAAAAAATCGTTCTATTTTATTCTACATCTTATAATTTTATTGTTTTGATTTTTTTTTTTCAATTGATTTATCATGGGTGCTATTTAACAAACAGTGACAACATAGTTATTTTGTCTGGGTGTTTCTGTACAATTTACATTTCAAATTGATGAATTTGCTGGATTACGCAGACACACTCTTTGAATGCACTGTTACAGGACACTGTGTAGCAAAGGATCGTACTTTGCAAACTTGGGTATTTTTTTGAAAGCAAGTCACAATTTAGGTACTAAGATTGATGGGAAGAAATAAATGTATAGGAAAGGCATATGTTGCACATGAATATTGGTCGAAACAAGCTCATGTTACAATTTTGATGTTTCACGACACACACACACACACACACACACACACACACACACACACACACACACACAAATAAATAACAACCCACTCTATAAACTAATTAAAACTATGTGGAAAAAAAAACAATCGTCAAAACAAAACGAAAACAAAAAAATGATAAATCCAAAATGACTACAACCCTCCATCCAACACGCAAAACATTTTTTATGCAGGCCAGCACCAGCTGTTTCTTGTGAGCGAGTATGTTCAAAATGTGGTGATGTGAACAATAAAATGAATTTGGCTCACTCCAAAATGGTGAAAAATTTTTGGGGGAGGTTGAGTGTTTCCCATTTCACATGATCATCCGTTGCAATCACATCAAGAAGTAAATCAATACACACATTCATCAATCTTTATTTGTAAACACAACACATTTTCAGGAATACTGTATATCTCAAAAATATATTTCACTTATTTAGGGGCTGCAAAACCATTCTAAGCCTTCGAAATACATGTGCCGATATGCTTATTTCTAGTTTTAACAATCCCAATTCAAGAAATCCGGCCAAGTGAAATATTCTTTCCGCACAGACAGATAAAAACTCCACTTGTTTTGGTTTGTCACAGCACTTTGATCTTGTGACAAACAAAAAAAGATAGAATGTAGACAGATACCGACCACTATTCCTGTTTGATTAAAGAAAGTCAGGCGGCAGATTGAGCAGGCAAAAGTTGACACTTGGGAAAACCAAATTGTGACTCCTGGCATGTTTTTCTAAATTTCCCTTCTGAGTGAATCTTTGGCCACACACTGAGCAGGCAAAAGGTTTCTCCCCAGTGTGAGTTCTTATATGCCTTATTAAAGTTGTCTTCTGATTAAAGCTTTTACCACAAACTGAGCAGGCAAAAGGTCTCTCTCCAGTGTGTGATCTAGTGTGCCGAATCAAACCGGTCTTCCACGTGAATGTTTTACCACAAACTGAGCAGGCAAAATGTGTCCCTCCAGTGTGTGTTGTTGTGTGTCTTCCCAGTTGCTCCTTATGAGCGAATCTTTCACCGCAAACGGAGCAGACAAAAGGTTTCTCACCTGTATGCATTCTTGTGTGCCTTATCAAACCTGTTTTCCAAGTGAATTTTTTGCCACAAATTGAGCAAGAAAAAGGTTTCTCCCCAGTGTGGGTTCTCATGTGCCTTTTCAACATTGACTTGCTGAAAAAGGTTTTGTCACATTGAGAACATTTCATGTGTTTTTTGTCAGTGTGACATGTCGTACCATCTTTGGAGTGTTCGTCATCATCACTGTCGGAGGAGTGTGATGTTATGGCATCACTATCTGACAGTGGAGCTAAGTGGTTGTCTGCTTGTGATCCTCCATAGTGGTCTCCATCATCTTCATCATCGTCATCTTCACTTTTCAATGGCAACTTGTTGATATTGGTTTCCTCCAACCCTTGAATCTTCTCTCCCTCCTTACTGACGCTGTGCTCCTCCTCTTCCTCTTTAATGAGAGGGCTCTCCTCCTTTTCTTCTTTCATGTGGGGGAGCTCTAGATTCTCCTGTTCCACCCTGGAGCTCCACTCCAGCTGCCCAGGATGAAGATCACCAATGTCTGCGGGACACACGAAGGCAAGCACACGTGATTGGGAAAAGTCACGCTTTGCTCAGTCAAGTCACGTTATGATGGAAGCTGTGATATGGACCCACACCTACGGTCAAAAAAGTGCAAATAAGTTGAATTAAAGATGGGTTTAAGTTCAGAAAATTACCCATATCTGGAGGGGGAGAAGATTTGGAATAAAACAATGAAAGTGGGGCGGCCTGTTTTGCGTGTGCATGCTTAAGTGCGTGCGTGCACGCGCGTGTGTGTCTACCACTTGTCAGTTTTAAAGACATTGAATCGGATAGATCGAAAAAGTGAGCGCTGTAAACTATTGCACATCAATTAGGAACAATGCCAATGAACCAACAAAAAGCTGCTCGACAATAAAAGTGAAAAATGATCAAACCTGTTCCGTGGAACACAACTTGACGTCGTTGCTTGTCCTCTTCTTTTGCTTCATCACAAAGTTCCTTATCGTACTCATCTTTCACACTTTTTGCACACATTTTCACACGATAACCACTTGATGTCTGCTTTGCGACGTTTCGAAGCTACAAAGCGCACCGATTGTAATATTTTTAATCACTAATGGACAAGCTCGGAGACCGCGCAGTCTCGCTACCTTATTTTTGTTTATTTCCAGGAGACAAGAGCGAGAGGGAAGAGTGTACTTCCGGTGAATGACGCACCGTCAGCACATTCCATCGCATTCCTGCCACCTGCAGGCGAGGAGGTCGTAGAAGAAGCGTGTACATGTACAAGCAGTTTAAAATGAAGCATCATTTAGAAAAGCAAGGCATATTTTTCTGTCATGATTGGACCCCACTAAGATATAATGCATACGAATGGGAATGTATCGGTTACATAAATAATAATACATATACATTCGACTTTTAAATTGATGCTTTTTATAATACTGTAATACAAAAGCGAAAACACAATGCCTGGAGGTGATGTGGGTTTTCAGATGAAACACTAGATAGGTTAGACTTTCCCTCATCTCAGGGTTAATTTCCTCAGTTTTCAGATAACCTACCACTTGAGTGACCTTTACGACCTTTGTTGCAATTGACCTCTAATCAGTGCATCATAATCACTGTCATTTTGAAAAAGCTGTAGTCGGATTTCCACGCCAAGACTCAGGCACCAGCTGTCCTATCCAGCCTGATCAGATGAGAGGCAAAATGTCTTCAGTGATAGAATATACGATGACCAAAACGAAAAATAATCTTCAATCAAGAAATCTCAAGTAAAAAAAATCCCGCTGGATGAATTCACGTATTGGTAAAGAACTGAGACAAACACGGAATTAAGGAGCTATAAAATACACTGAACACAGTCATTGTGTGAAGAGTTGCACCGTATTTTATTGAGGGTAACAAACACCTACCACAAAGAATCAAAGATTATCTTTCATATCTCGAGATCATTTACAGCTGGTCTTCTCATCAGCACGGGTTCTGCTCTTTCTCATCAATGTGTTGTCTTGTGTGTGTTGTCAAAAGTGTAACTTAATTGGAAAAAAAATATTTAACTGCACACTCTGTATGAATTGGGAAAAAAAACACACCAAGCGTGAATCTGTTGAACCAGTCCTGTTGGATCAATTCACGTTAGGTTGCACATTGCGCAGGCAAAAGGTGACCTTTAGAAGAATTAGTGTGTGTACTTGCATGAGTAACTAAATGGGCTTTCTGAGTGAACCTTTGACCACAAACTGAGCAGGCAAATGGTCTCTCCCCAGTGTGTGTTCTTGTGTGCCTTATTAAACTTGACTTCCTCGAAAATGTTTTATCGCAAACCGAGCAGGCAAAAGGTCTCTCCCCAGTGTGTGTTCTTGTGTGCCTTCGAAAATCTACCTTCCAAGTGAAGATTTTGCCACAAACTGAACAGGCAAAAGGTTTCTCTCCAGTGTGTGTTATTGTGTGTCTTCCCAATTGTTCCTTGTAAGTGAATTTTTCATCGCAGACGGAGCAGGCAAAAGGTTTCTCCCCAGTATGTTTACTTGTGTGCGTTATCAGATTTGTCTTCCCAGTGAATCTTTTACCGCAAAATGCACAGGCAAAGGGTTTCTCCCCAGTGTGTGTTCTCATGTGTCTTTTCAGCGTTGACTTGGTAGCAAAAGTTTTGTCACACTGAGAACATTTGGAGCGTTTGTTGTCAGTGTGACTTTTCGAGTACTTATCATCATCGGTGTCAGAGGAGCGTGACGTTACATCATCACTATCCGATAGTGGTGCCAAGTGATTGTCTGCTTGTGATCGTCCGCAGTGGCCTCCATCACCTTCTGTTGTCACATGCCGACTTGAGCTGCAGCCTGGAGTTTCCGCCTCCCTGGTCTCCTCACTTTGACCCTTGCCTTCATCATCTTCACTCTTCAAAGAGACAACGGTAATTAGCAGCTTGGTAATATCCTCATCCTCCTCTTCCTCTTTAATGTAGGGAGGTTTCTCAGTCTCCTCTTGAATGTTGGTAGGTACTGACTCCTCCTCCTTTACACGGTGGAACTTTGGCTCCTGCTTCTCAGGACAGAGAGCTTGTAATCCAGAATTAATGTTGCAGGCAGAACCCATAGTTTTTTTTTTCCTAGCGTGTGTTCTTTTGTGCCTTAATAAATCCGACTTCATAGTGAATCTTTTCCCACATACCAGGCAGGCAAAAGGTTTCTCCCCAGTGTGTGTTTTTGTGTGCTGTATTAAATCTATCTTCATAGAGAATCTTTTCCCACAAATTGTGCAGACAAACGGTTTTTCGCCAGTATGTGTTCTTGTGTGCCTTATTAAATCTTTATTCCAAGTGTATCTTTTGCCACAAACTGAGCAGGCAAACGGTTTGGCACCTGTGTGTGTTTTTCTGTGTCTCGTTAAATCTGAATTCATCGTGAATCTTTTACCACAAACCAAGCAGGCAAAAGGTCTTTCCCCTGTATGTGTTCTTATGTGTCTTAATAAACTTGTTTTCCTGGCAAAGATTTGACCACAAACTGAGCAGGCAAAAGGATCCTCCACAGTGTGTGTTCCCTCCTGAGTTGATGTTTTACTACAAACCGAGATGGAAAAAGGTTTCTCTACAGTGTGTGTTCTTGTGTGTCTTACTAAGTTTCCCTTTACAGAAAATCTTTTACCACAAACTGAGCAGGCAAAATTTTTCTCTACAGTGTGTGTTTTTGTGTGTTTTTTCAAGTGTCCCTTCTGCTTAAATGTTTTATCACAAACTGAGCAGGCAAAAGGTTTCTCCCCAGTGTGTGTTCTTGTGTGTCTTATTAAATCTGCCTTCCAATTGAATGTCGTACCACAAAGTGAGCAGGCAAAAGGTTTCTCCCTAGTGTGTGTTCTCATGTGTCTTTTTAAATTTGACTGATTGAAAAATGTTTTGTCACACTGAGAACATTGGCAGGGTTTCTTGTTGGTGGGACATGTCGTTTCAGCTTTAGGGTGATTATCATGATCAGCGTCAGATATTAAGCTGTCAGAGTCAGGAGAAAAGAGGCAGTCTGCTTTGGGTCCTCCGTGGTGGTCATAGTCATCACCTTCTTCATTTTCATCATCATCATCTTCATCATCATCTTTTTCACTCTTCACATGGTCACCAGTCAGTGTCAACTTGGTGATATGGTCACCATCCAACCCTTGAATTTTCTCTCCCTCCTGACTGATGCTGTGTTCCTCCTCTTCCTCTTTAATGTGAGGGCTCTTTTCTTCTTCTTTAAAGTGTGAGGAATCTGGCTCCTCCTGCTCCACCCTGGAGCTCCACTCCTGCTGCTCAGGATGAAGATTTTCTTCACAGACGTCTGCAGGAAACAAGAAGACAAAATTATGATTGGTCTTTGTTTGCCAAGATGTTAACTCAGTTTCTGTGTTAGAACACGCAGGGTGAATCAAGGTCTTGTATGTTTAAATTATTTATGTAGAAATTATGAGTAGAATGGGAACATTCCACTTTGACCCTTTCTTCCAACTGAGCCACACCCGCCCTCTTCTACTCCTCCTGCATCTCACCCCACAAGATTCAGTATGGACAAGGATCTGTTAGTAAATCTTGAATTTACATCGTTTTTGTGTCACCTTGTTGAGTCACAATCTAGGTCAGCGCATCCTGCTTGGGACCGTTTCAATATTGTGTTGCAACGCCCCATGTCCAAATGCTGGGATTCGCCTCAGCCTTTCACTTGCTTTTAGCATTTCTGAAGGTATTATAACAAAACTGATGACTGTAACCCTGAATCGATGAGTTCCTAATGACCGCTAGGAGGTGCAATCAAAAAACAGTTGGGACAAACATAACACAATTATGGATCAAAAAGGGACTGGCAGCTACTGGGGTCAATTGGATCCTTTTTTGTACACAATTCTTTTTAGTCTTAGTCAAGCTGACCCAATTTTTTTTTTTTTTTACAAACATCAAACAGCAAACCCCAAGATTTGATTGGTCTGTGCGCACACGCGCACGCACACACACACACACACACACACACACTTTTTTTGCATTGTTCCACTAACAAATAACAATGACAATGACATGTGTATACTGAAGATTTTAGTAATTACAAGAACTTTGTGAAATAAGCAACGCATTATCCGGCAGAAGCAATGCCAATGTTTTTGGCCATGGCAGAAAGTACTACAACCTGGGCTGCCACCTGTCAATCACTGGAAATTATGAAACGAAAATCGAGCCGACGCCACGTAATAGAAAACTATGTAAACTATAACACGGTCAATATTATGGAAGAAGAATGCCGAAGACAGGGAAAAAAAGGCAATTAGACAACAGAGAGTGAGACAAACCTGCTCCGTGTAACACAACTTGAGGTTTCTCGAAAACAACATCCAATTGACGCTTTCGCTCGTTGTCGTCTTTTGTTCCACCAAGTTCCTCCTCGTACTCTTCTTTCACACTTTTTGCACACATTTTCATTTCAAACGACGACCACACAGCTCGACACTCACTGAATCACTGCATGGCGATGTGTCGTGAAATTCCACTAGAAGCTACAAAGTGCACCGACAATGAAGTCATCAGTCAGATTGTTCTAGTACTCGACAAATATACATAGAGGTGGAAAAAATGTGATCATGATTGCGAGCTTGTAGACCGCGTCGTTTTGCTAGCTTTTTTCTAGTGTTCATTGATGACAAGCGGAACATCGAAGGATTTACTTCCGGTACACGATGTATTGTTAGCCCATTCTAGTGCGTTATTGCCCCCAGCAGGTGAGAACGTGTCATTGCACGCTCAATCTGAAAGCAGAACAGCTGTGATCGATTCAATTTCCGAGAAAGATTGTGCTCCATTCCCCTCAAAGGGAGCCCTCGATTCTGGGACCTTTGTGCCATCGCGATGGTGCCGCCCAGCGTTGGTGGATGCTGAAACACCCTTGATTGAAGAGCTGATTTCATATATATCGCATACCTGTATACACATTTCCGTCATACCACAAAGTCAAAGATTCTTTACAATTTATTGAGAAACTCAACATCTCACCAGCCCGCATGTGTCTCATGGTTGCTCATCCAATATGGATTCCTGTCAGTGTGCCACTGAGAGAATCTTTGACCACAAGTTGAGTATTAATGTATTGAAGCAATTCCATGTGATCTATTTAAGTTACGGTGCACACTGAGCAAGCAGATGTTGACACTGGGGAGAGCCAGTGTGTGTACTTGTATGTTTTACTTAATGTGCCTTCTCAGTAAATCTTTGGCCACAAACCAGTGTGTGTTCTTGTATGTCTTCCCGGTGAATGTTTTGTCACACACTAAGCAGGCAAAAGGTTTCTCCCAGATGTGTGTTCTTGTGTGCCTCAGTGAAGTTGTCTTCCTTGTGAATGTTTCATCACACACTGAGCAGGAAAAAGGTTTCTCCCCAGTATGTGTTCTTGTGTGCCTTACCAGAGAAAAGTTTATCACAAATTAAGCAGGAAAAATCGTTTATCGCCAGTGTGTTTCTTCCATGCCTTAATAACGTCTTGTCAGTGAATCTTTGACCACAAACTGAGGAGTTAAAATGTTTTCCCCCAGTGTGTGTTCTCATGTGTCTTTCCAAGTTGGACTTGCTGTAAAAAGTTTTGTCACACTGAGAACATTTAACGTGTTTGTCAGTGTGAAGCTTTCATTTTTATTTACATTTTCGGTATTGGGAAATACATAAGGGAATGTAATAGTTTCCTTTTCCCTGAGTATCCATCCATCCATTTTATAATCTGTGTATCCTCTCACAATGTTTGTGGGCGTGCCGGAGCCTATCCCGGCTGTCTTCGGGCAGTAGGCGGTAGAACCTGAACTGTTTGCCAACCAATCATAGGGCACACATAGACAAACAATCAATCATTCGCACTCACAATCACACTTAGAGACAATTTGGAGTGCCCAATCAACCTGCCATGCTAGTTTTCGGAATGTAGGAGGAAACCGGAGTACCCGGAGAAAACCCATGCACATGGAGAAAACATGCAAACTCCACACAGGAAGGCCGGAGCCGGAATCATACATTCACCTCTGCACTGTGAGGCCAACGTGCTAACCAGTGGTCACCGTGCTGCATTTTCCCGGAATAACAAGTTTACACTACTCACAAAAAGTTAAGGTATATTTGGCTTTCAGGTGAAATTTCATGGCGAGTGTAAAATGCATTCCGTTACATGTGAACTTAATGTGACCTTCTCTAAGCTTTTGAATGCACATCTACACGTCCATGTAAAGAATGTATAAATGCATGTATGTAGGCAGGCATGTATTTAACAAAAAAAAAAAACAAAAACAACAACAAAAAACATACATGATTAATGTAGCTGCCTTGGGTTCAATTCTTAATGTAAATATTAATATTTTTATTAAGTCAGCAAGTTAGAGCAAGATGTTTCTCCCATTTGCAGCATTGGTTCTTCTGAGAATGACTTCCATATGAAAGTAAATGTGACTGCGTGAAATCCTAAACTGAATCCCAAACGAATCAAAGTGAGCCTTGAATGGAATTGAATGTTTGAAATCTTAAATCGATACACACAGCCCTAAGTGTGTTCTAACTTCCACTCCAGTTCAAATAAGAACTTTCATTCTGTTCATAGTCAGTATGAGCACATCATATCACAAACAATATTCTGAATGGGTATAAGGCGTGTCACGTGTCATTAAAACATACAGCGGGCAAACATACAATTACAAAATAGTGTCACATACAGTAAAACATCACAAAGTATGAAACCCTTCAAATATGATTTTAGCTGCACAGTGCATGTGGCAAGTTAAGTGGCACACAGAATAAATACAAGATGTAACAGAGACCTATCTAGATATTCTATAGGTGTCTGTGATACAAAATAATGTGTTTGCATTGTTAATTGATTGCGAATGCCATAAAACATACAAAGGAAATATAAAACTAAGGCATCAAATACAAAATAAACATATAAAACAACCCACTTTTGATTTTACCAGCAGGTGTGTCAACATTTGGCTACCGTAATGGAAGGCGCCACGACAAACAAAATTTGGGACAAACTTCAAACTTCTTCTGAGACTTCACCTCAGTGAGCATCACCTATTAACTCCAAGTGAGTTATGCTTTTTCTTTTCTTATGGGTAGCAGAAATGAAAAAGAATTACTACAGAACCCGAAATGTAATTTAGTGTCACAAAAAACCCAAAAACTCTCCGTGCCACCTAAGTGGCAGCTCCTGCTCTCCAGCAGTCCTATGATATATCTGACGATGATGAAATGAGCGAGTAGTTGGATGTCTACAGGTAAAGATCTTTTCTTAAAGTGGTTTTCAGGTCTAGGTGATATTCCTCACCAGGATGACTCCGGTTGTGCTCAAAGATTGCTCTATTGACCTCCTTGTGGAGATCAAGCACATGTCTCCTCCTGTCAGAAGCACACAGAAAGTATTTGTTTAGCACTTCAAAATAAACAGAAGATTGAAGCAAAATCATGGAACCACCAAGTGCACTGCTCATAAAAAGTTCGGGATGATCAGCTTTCCGGTGAGATATTTGGATTGACCCTAAAATGCAGTGCGAACGACCTTTACAAGTGAACTTGATTTGCCCTGCTGTTAACTTTTCACTGTCCAACCGTTCAATGGAAACACCTGTTGTGAATTTCTCAATTTTTATGAGAACAGCAAGTTGGGTAAAAAAGTACTGAAACACTGAACAGCTGGACGTAAGGATTCAAAAGATTAGAGAAGATCAAATTAAGTTCAGTCGGTTATTCAGTGATTGCCCTCATATTAGCAGTTTAAGACTCGTGAATTCACCGAGTCACTAACTTTTAAAAATCTATCCACTGTGATTTGCTCACCTATTCAGTGTTTTTGTGCTCAAAAGTATTGGTTTCGCACCATTTTGTGGCATCTTGGTGTCAACGAATTATGATAAAGTGAGTTGAGGAGTTTCATTTTGGCAAACATAGTGCTTTGCCACCATCCGGTGGTATCTATAAACCTTTTTGGGGAGGAGGCGGCAATTGGTTATGGATTTTTGCTATTCACGGCGGGGCCGCAGTTTGTCATCAGTGGGTTGCAACAGTGATGCAGAGAATACTGGAAGAGCCACAGAAAGGCATTGAAGTGGGTGTCTTTGGAAATGCATTGTCCATTCATGAATCGAATATATGTACATTTTGTCATTCAGTTCCTTGTAGCAGGTTGTGCAAAAAGCACTGAAACTGTTGTACATTTGCACTGACAAGTTTCAACTTGGTAAAATGACATTCAGCTGGGAAGGTTATAGTCAATTTCGTAAAATTTCACCCGATTGCCCCAATTTTTTGTGAGTAGCGGGGATGTCTCCGTACCTTTCCTGGCTCTTGCCTAAGGTATCGGTCAAAGCCTTGAGGTAAATGGAGCGGTGTTGAGCGTGCTGTAGTTGATGTTCTGCAGTCCAGCAGTGACTCCAGAGCACATCAGCATCTGATGGGATACAATCGGGCGTCAACTGTCCACCACCAGCATCCGTCTCCAGGTTCTCATCCCGGCTCTCTCTGGCACAGGGTTGGACCGCCGATACACCAA